TTTGTGGCGGTATTACCATCCACAGCATTGCTTGCCGGGAAAGATGAGGACCAATCACTACTTTGCGTTGCTGTCTTGCCATATGCCACATTCGTTGATTCTAAAATGAAGTTATTGTCGCGAGTCAACATTTGAATGAGATAGCGGACATTGCTTTGATTATTTTCTATTTTGAGGAGGGTGAATTTATTCTTGGTCAGTCAAAACATGTCTGATATTTTAAAAACTTACTAAATTGTATACTTATGTTTTGAAAAGTATTTTTGATATAGAGATCCTTGTCAATAATAAAATATGGCTCATTTGCGTGGCGACAAGAAATGTATATCTGGACGTATTGACAAATAGAATATGCATAAAGTATTGTTAGTTGAACGTGTACTTGACATTGAAATTATAAAGAAGAATTTAGTTCCACCTAATCAAATACAGATTTGATTTTTTCGGAATGATTGATTATTAAGGAAATTGATATAATGATTAAAATACACACTGGGCAATTGATGGTATATTTCAAAATAGGTGTCAAGTGTAAATGATTAATTGCCTGTTGTTCAAATAAGTGTACAGATATTGACAAGAAGTTTCGAAGTAACCAATCATAACACGGCCCACGAAGAAGGTAATAATAGTGATTTGGAAGCCCGATTAGTAGTGCAATTTTGTTGTTATTCTTAGCGAGAATATATCTGAAATAAAAAATAAATATTTTTTTTTTCAGATTATAAATACTTATATCGTGAAAATCCTTATTTACCTTCATTCTCTCTGGGAAATCTACCAGCCAGGTTTGCCTATTTAAAAAAGAATAAGTTATTATTTATTATATGTGCCAAGATTTTGTAATGAGGTATAAATAAGCAAAGAATGGGTTTAAATGATAATCAGATGATCTTATGCAGAAGGCTTTTCACGAATCAACTACTCAGATTGATATATGACAGGTTCAACCGGTAGGGGAGAATATTCTCATTATTCTCAATTGTTCGTCTTAATCTCGATGTCCACATATCATTCTTTTGTACATTAATTGTTGTAAATGCTCATAGATTGATGATTTCATGTCAAGTTGTGTAGCACTGTACACATTGTCATATGTATGTGTGTAAATGTACCCTGTCCCACGAGTATATGTCCATTTTACTTTGTTAAACTACCTATGCGATCATTGATGTGGAATTAATGGATGGCTATGTCAGTGTATATTGCACTACTCATCTGGAATGCATAAATTATAATTAAGGTAGAGATGCAGTTTACCTGACAGGTATTTTAATTAGTTAATTAGGAAACCAAGATGACCTCCCTTGTCCACAAAACTATATATTTTCGGAAAGCGTATTGTATGAATTTTAAAATTTTGTTAGTATTTATTTTTATGGTCACTGTAGTTTGAAATATGCACAAAAATGTGCTTTTTTGGTCAAAAGTGATTTAAAAAAAATAGATTCTAAACCATGCTTCTGTTTGCTGTCAAAATTAGTTCATGGGTACATCTGTTACTATGAAACAAGTGCCGTCTTGAAAACTGTCTACCACTTGTAAATTTTGCAGGGCAGCAGCCCAAAATTCACTACTTCAAGTTTATGCATAAATTAACACCCAGGCTAGTTGTCTGTACGATTGTTGTAACACTATTCAACCAAAAACAATGCCCCGACGGCGTTTTGAAGATAAACACATTGTCAATCATTTGTGAAAATTTCAAAACAAAAGGTCAAAGCGTCTAGGAGCTATTTTTTTAAGTTCCGGGATGTGCACTAAAAAGAAGCTGAGATAATTGCTAATTTGCATAACAATTCACTCAGTAAGAAGTTCTCTAATGCTCATAATTAAAATGGCTGTAACAGTTCCAAAGTTAAATATAGTGCATAATATGGAGATCCCGTCATTTCTTTTTTTCACCATGTTTTTTGTTTATTATTTATGTACAGCCTTGCTAAATCTTGCTAAGCATTCAAAAGAGAGAATGTTTGCACCTGTTATCTATATTTTAAAATCGTTTTTTGAGTATGTTCTACTATTCTACAAAATTTTAACAGTCTATAGCCAAGACTGTTTGGATAATAAAAAGCAAAAAAAAACAAAAAACATTTTACTCCCAAGTGCCCACGAACCTGCATCTCTACCTTAAAGCTTCAATCAGCAATACGGGTTACAATCAAGTTGTTTTCTAGGTGGTTGGTAAACTTAACCTTATTATTATTTATATGATCATAAACAGAGAAAATAGTAGTGGTTGTAGTAGTAATAGTTTGTAGTTTTTAAACAAAAACTGTGAAAGTGTTTGCACAAGAGATAATACAACGTGTGTGGTTGCACTTTGCTTTTCATAAAATTCAATTTCATCACAAATTCACTCCACCACATTGTCAAAGCGAAGAGGCCAATACCGTGAATGTGCTAGAAGAGTTAAACTCTGTCAAGACGATGTGATGTTTGGCAGGCAATGTAACAGAAAGCGATTCTCGTCGTTCAGTGACGATAAAGCTACCACCAATATGGGAACAAGCAGTGCTCGACATAAAGATATCACCGCCACTGGTTACCCTACAACATCCACCGCATACGTCATTCAATATAATGGCCCAGTTATCAGAGATCAATACACGACTGTACAATCTTGAGAGTGTGCAAGGTAAAATTTGGCAACTTGACGAAACAACAGGTGGGATAAAAGTTCCGTGGAAGTCATAAGCACCATGTTTGAAAGTTTTGAAAGTCTCAAATCACCATGTTTGAAAGCACAAACAAAAAACTAGTATTAGAAAACAGTGAACTAAGAATCTAGACAAGTATATTCATCGAAGTAACCTAAAAAATCATGGTATACTAGTAATATCTGAAATCATCACCTTCCAATCAAAATTAATAAAAATAAATCTAAATCAGCCCACAGACAATGGATCACTAAAGGTATCCTAATATCTTCCAAAACAAAGCACAAATTATTTTTAAAAACGCGGAGTCGCCCAAATAATTTTCAAATAATTGATAACTATAAATCATATCATATCTTACTGACGAGGCTGCTTAGGACGGCTAAGAAAACGTATTATTCAAGGAAAATAGTTATAGAAAGATGATAATGCCAGTAAAACGTGGAAAGTAATCAATGAGATGTTTTAAATGAAACCACCAGCACCAAAGTTCTCAAAACGTCAATAAAACAGCCATCACAAAAAACTGCAATCTTGCAGAAGAATTCAATGATTTTTCGTAAATGCCATAACCTAACTCTGTGAAAAAATAATTTCTTGTTTTAAATGTATTTTTTATTCATATTAGCATATATTATAATTGCTGCATTATGGGTGGGGATGAGTAGTTATTAGCATGCATGTGGGGGGGGGGGGGGGTAGTGTATGTTTTTAGTGATTGAAATATTTAATTTAATTTAATTCATTTAATATAATCATTGTTTGCATACTCGAATAATGATTTTGATAAACTTGTGCCTGCAGTAGTTTTATAAACTCAACAAAACAGTAAATTTGTATCGTTTAATTGCAATAAATAATCTCTAGTTTCAATTGTATGTGGGGCACTATTTTATTTGTATTACCAGATTATCAAAATATATTCTTAACAGATAGCTTTCTATTGTGATGGAGACCCTCTATAATTGAGATCAGTTTCTGTATTTCCTATTCTTTATTTTAACGCAGCACACTATATACTTGTTTGCGATTCCCATGAAACATCCTTGAAAAATAAATATAAACTGCGTAAACAGGGGTGAACGCGAAAGTCCAACAGACCTGCAATCAGATGGAACGACCTCACCGGCCATATTTGGGCTTGTGAATTTGCATATATGTCATACGGTGGGTGGAGCAGCCAAGCCACGGATCATAACCGGACATTGCATGTGCCTGTGTTTACTTGTCTCGCGCTATGTTACCATGCTGTTAATGTCAACAAAATTGAATAAAACAACCACTATTTCTCCAAGAACGCAAGAAATTATTTGTATTGTGTGCGGTCATCGTAAAGGCAGACGAAAGCTGACAAAATGACCCTTGCTTTCCAGGAAATTAATGATCCGTTGTTTCAGACAAATGTCGTCTGTCGAAGTTGTTCCAGGAAGGGGACAATTTGAAAAAATAATCAAAGTAAAGGGTCAAGTTGAAATACCCAAATAGCAAAGAAACCAGGCCACTAAGGTCCACCATATTTAAACCATGGGTGTTCGTTTTCTGGGCCTGTTCTTTCAACGCAATTAATGTCAGCACTATAGTGTCGGGGTTTTCTTTAAGCTCAGTGTCTGTAGACGGCTTTGGTGTCCTAATACTTTTAAGGCTCGCTCCACACATTCTTTTGATAACATTGCATTCTTTTCTGAAATTCAAGCTAAAATGTATGCGATTCGGATCTGAGAAAGTATATACAATTGTCGGGATCTAAGTTTATCCAAGAAAGTATGTATGGTTTCAGGGGTCTCAGTTCATTTGTTAATTAGCCTGTCTTCTGATTAATAATAGACATGTCAACCATTACAAGCCCTGATCTGTCCGGTAATGTGAGGGCGCTTACACTGATTGTAAGTCTCTAGGGATTTCACGGTTACAGGACTTTCGCGTTCACCTCTCGCACTTTATATCTATTCTTCATCAGAATCGCAACAGATGGCAAGCAACTTGAAGTTGACAGACGCTATCACAAAATTCAAGTTACTGATTGAATTTGATTGGCAGCTATCGGATGTTTCATGCAGCATTACAATAGTCCCATGCATAGTCATAACACACTAGACTGGTTGCCGCTGACTGTCACTGGGGGCAACCTGATACCGTGGACAAAGAGTCAATGAAATGTCCCACGAATTCGTCCGAAAACGGGGACTTATAATTCGGTCTCCGTCCGTCTGTGCGTCTGTGCGTCCGTCCGGAGTCATATCTCAGAATCCCTTGGACCGATTCCGTTCACTCTTTGCATGTGCCTAGTACTTGATGTGGGACATATGCATATGCAGTGGTTTAGCGATTCGATTCAAAATGGCCGACTGGCAGCCATCTTATTTTTTGAAAATGTTTTTTTTGGACATGCTTTATCAGTTTTCATTTAAACTTGGTACATAGATTAAACATGTTAGGATACATGTTCATGACGATTTATTTCAAAATTGGATCAAAGATGGCCGACTGACAGCCATCTTGTTTTTTGAAAATGTTGTATTTTGAACATGCTTTGTATGTTTTCATTCAAATATAGTACATAGATCATACATGTCCGACCGTCCGTGCGTTCCTGAGTCTGTCCATCTCTCCATGTGTCCGTCCGTCCCTCAGTCTGTCCAGAGTCATATTTCAGAATCCTGTGGACCGATTCCGTTCATTCTTTGCATGTGCCTAGTACCTTATGTGGGACATATGCCCATGCAGTGGTTTAGCGATTTGATTCAAAATGGCCGACAGGTAGCCATCTTGTTTTTTGAAAATGTTGTATTTTGAACATGCTTTGTCAGTTGTCATTCAAACTTGGTACATAGATAGGAACATGTCCATGATGATTTATTTTGCAATTGGATCAATTGGACTGGCAGGCATCTTGTTTTTTTATATGCGGTATCTTGGACGTGCTCTGTCAGTTTTCATTCAAATTTGGCACACACATGTACTTTATACATTTAGGATGTATGTCCATGACATCTGACTTTTTGGCCTTACTACTATATTTCCACAATTTATGTACCATTTGCATTCGTATTTGGCACATACGTACATATCAGTGTGTTTCATAATCAGATCAAAGATGGCCGAATAACGGCTGTTTTTATTTTAGGCCATATGACTACTACACGGAACACGTGTTTTGATGTAAATAAATATATTGTATACGCCACTTGGAACTCAAGTTTTAAGGACACGCTCGTCACAACCCCTCCGCTTTAATATGACGAGCACAAGGAGAACTTAATTTAACGGGGACTGTGTCATTTTCAATGACTTGTTCAAACTGTTCATGTACAATAGCTACTACATAAACCCGGGTTTTAAAAACAAAACAATAGTACATTACTGGAAATTCTTATGTGTCAAACGTTTTCCAACAGTACTTGAACACCTTAAAGTACAATGTAGTGTGGCTTATGTTGATAGACATGAGAAGCCTAGCGGTGAACTCTCTCTCAATGAAGGGTCGGGAAAAGGATTAGTAATCATGAAGAATAATAAGGATGGTTAAAATGTCTCAATTACTGACGAGAGTTGGTTTCTCTGGAGAAGTCAGTGGCACAATAAAGTCTTGATATTTACAATATTCCTGTAACCGCGGATGATGTACCACACCCTCTATGAAATCAAATGAAATCTTGACATGCACTTTGTCTGAAGGGGACTAAGTCAGGTGCTATCCGTCGTCTGAATCGTATATGCGCAGTTTCGCCAGCTCGATATAAACATACCCCCCCCCCACACACACACACACACATGCACACGGTGTGGGAATCTACCGAGAAGTCGCGGTAAAATGCTGAAATCTGATTGGAGGCGCCTCCAAATTAGTGACAACTGGTCCTGAAACAAAATGTAGCGTTGTGCTCCGATCGCAAAGAATCGCCGATACAAAAATGGTGACCTCTCCCCCAGAATTCTAAGTTGAATTATTAGAACACACTGGAAAACGAACGTCATCAATTGGAATTGTTAACGAGATTACTGATAGTAATAAATGCAATTTCACTAACAAACAAGGACATTTTCTTAGAATTATTGTAAAGGCTCGTCGTTTACCATGTTGAATTATCCTCATCCGAATGATGTACCATGAGATGATAACATTTTGGTGTTTGCGGCCAGATCTTAAGTAAATAAGGCTGGTTTGGATCAGGCTTTGAGTAGATTAATTGTGACGGAAGAGCTGTCGCGACAGTATTGTGTTTTTTTTTAAGAATATTAATAGTTGTGCTTTCGCTCAAATTGAGACAGGAATTGGGCTACTTGATAAACTTATTACCAAACGCTTGAGCGTGGTATTGAGAGTTTGTTTTCAGGGGTAGGTGTTACCAAGGTGGAAAATGGTTGCACATATGGGGATAATTTCTGGAATTGCAATAGAGAGGGTTCCGGTCGTAATACAGTATATATATTGTGTTTTCATGTTTCGTCTAATACTTCTGTGGTATTCTGCTGCTGTAACTAATGCAAGATTTGTTCTGAAATTCAGTGTATTGTGTGCACTCAAGGGTTATTCGTTTTTTGCTGAAAACACCCCTATGTTTTATTGGCAGAGTCGACCTTGTTTCACTCGCACTGGGAAATCTGCATTGTCGCTTGAATAAGAGCTAATTAAACACAATTTCCAGACCGTAACCGTAGTATATAACAGCCGATTTTAACAGCCTATCACGTGATTTTACTCAGAATGTCAACATGGGAAGAGGCTATTTCATTTTACGCGGAAATAATTGGGAGTAGAATATGTGAGGGATTGTATTGCTGAGCATTTCTGTTTTAGTGTACTGGTTTGAAAATGTTGAATTTGCATGATTCGCGATGTTTTCTTTACTGAAACGCCACTAATG